CCTGGGGAGCCGCGCGCGACCCCCCGCTGCCCCGTCGCGGCGCCCTGAGGAGCCGCGCGCGGCCCCCCGCTGCCCCGTCGTGGCGCCCTGGGGGCCGCGCGCCGTCCCCCGCGCTGCTGCTCGCGCTCCCGCCCCGTTCTGCCCGTTTTAGGGTTTGGGGGTGGCGAGTGTGGGGGTGGCGGGCATGGGGGTGAGCGGTGTGGGTGCTACCTGTCCCCTACTCCTCCTCCTCCTCCGTCTCCCACTGCTGCAGCTGCCGCTGAGGGGGGTGGGTGTGTGGGAGCCGAGGGAGTGGTGCTAGGAGGGTGACGTGGGAGTGGAGCTAGTGGTGCAGCAAGGGGTGTGTGAAAGGGGGTGGGACAGTTGGGGGAAGTTGAGCGGAGGTAGCAGTCGTATCGCCAGCAGCGCCAGTAGTCCGGAGGCTACAATCTCCGGTAGTCGCCAGTCGCCTGTGGGTCAGTTGCTCCTGTCAGGAGGCTACAATCTCCGCGGAGCCAGTTACTCCTGTAGTCCGGGCCATTGCTTTGGTAGCCACTGAACCAGCCACTCCTGTGTGTCTGCAGCTTCCACCGTCGCCTCCCATCTCCTCTCCTCTCACAGTCACTCCTCCTCCTCACTTGCCCTCTGCGACTGCCTCTAGCTTTACTTGTGCATGTGAACCTGCTCCATGACTGCTTGCTCTGCTGATTATACCCCACTTTGACTATGGGGGTGTGTCAGAATGTTATTATTGTCTAGCCTGCAGTGGGGTACTCTATAGCGAGTACAACTCCTTAGGGTTTCCTATATGTATCCTGCTGCTTGCTAGTGAACCCCCTCCTTTGCTCATTTCTCTCTTGCCTAGCTAGGTAAACCCTAGCTATGGCTCCTACTTATGCCTACTATTCTAACAGAATCTTCGTCTAGCGAAGAAGAGGAGGAACCCCAGCCCAGTCCGGGACCTAGACGCCGACGTCGGCCGCTCACTCGAGCCGAGAGGGATAGAAGAGAGATAGAGGAGGCGTTGGCCGAGGACGAGGACGTGGATGAGGACAGGCTGCACGCGAGCGTCCTGCGAGGAGAGTTTACGGCGGCTGAGTTTGTGGTCGGGGATCTAAGGAACAGCGACATCGAAGTGCTGATAGCCAATGCCCTTCGCCACACGGAGACGCTCGAGGAAGGGTCGTCGCTGCGGCAGTACATATCGTTGATACTAGACTACAAGCGGTGGGCGGTGGATTCGCTTTCGGCAGAAGGCGACGACCTGGAGCCGGGTTCGACACTCACTGACAAGGACGAAATCGGCAAGCACATCGGCGATGATTTGGGCGAAGATTGGCACATCGCCCCGTGCCAGTTCATCTAGTTGCACAGCCCGAGGACCAGCGAGCCACGAATTCGCGCTTACGTCTTGTTCAGAGCGCGAGAGACCATCATCGAGGCGATGAGGAGCGAAGAGGGCAACACCGCCATGCGCACGCGGCCGATCAAACCTTGCACGGTCAACATGCTACTCGGCCGCATCAAAGCCCTTCAGATGGCGGCCAAGATAGAGGCGACCCTCTACCGGGAGATCATGCAGGACATCTCGGTCGTCCGCACGGAAGTGCGTGTCATGGTTCGCGCAAAGAACAAAGCCGACAACAAGTAAGATAACCGTCGCCGACTTTTCCAGTCCTATCTAATTTACCCGCCAATGTTAACCGACGCCGCTCACACTCAATCGTCACCCTCGCCCGCTCTCTTGTGCAGAAAATACGTCGACCGACATCGTGGAACCATTGGCGACACTTACACCATCGAGCCGTTTTGCAAAATCATATTCAAGATGCTGCCGCACTGGTCGGCGACAGCGTGGAATCCGCGGGGAACTGGTCCTTCCCAGACTCTGTGGAAGTTCATGCTCATGCAGCAGTCTCACCAGCACCTAGAGCAGGAGACGCACTAGCACCTAGAGCAGCAGCCACACCAGCACCTAGAGCAGGAGACGCACGAGCACCCAGAGCAGCAGCCTCACCAGCACCTAGAGCAGCGGGCTTTATACCTGGGTCAGGCGGTACGCACAGATAACAGGCACCGTCAGCACTAGTAGGCAATGCATACATGGCAGTGAGAATAGCATCATAGTCAAGAGCAAAGATATCTACCCTCTGCCTAAGCAGCTCCAGCCAGGTGGGGAGCTCAGCCTCGTCACCAAACTCGGTACGCCAGGCGTCGCTCAGACGGGCGAAGCAGCGGGACTGTGTGTGACTAAGCGTCCCGCAAGCCTGACCAGCCCGATCACCTATGCGAATGACGTACGGGTAGCGAACGGTACTCTGAGACCCTCTACTCTGAGCGTACCACTCACGAAGCTGCTGGGGCGTGAGTGTCTCGCGCGGACGCCGCTACAGCTGCAGCTGGCCACTGCCAGACGCTCCCAGCTGACCAGCTCCAGGGCGACAGCTACGAGGCTACCGCCACAACCCCAACTAGCGTACCACTCACGAAGCTGCTGGGGCGTGAGAGACTCGCGCGGACGTCGGTGGAGCTGCATCTGGCCACCGACAGTAGCAGCAGTAGCAGTAGTAGCAGCAGCAGTAGCAGCAGCAGCCTAGCAGCAGTAACAGAAGTAGCAGCAGTAGCAGCAGTAGCAGCGCAGGCAGGGCAGGCGAGGCAGGCAGGCAGGCAGACAGGCAGATGGCGCTGCAGTGCGCTAACAAGCAGACGCGCGGGAAGCGCGGGTAGGGCAGGTGCTCACCAGTGGCGGGAAGGGCAGGCGCACGACGGCGGCAAGGGCGGGGCCGCAATAGCGGCTGCAGAGTAGGGCCGCGTCAGCTGCAGGGCTGGGGCCACGACAGCGGCAGGGCACGGCCGCGACAGCTGCTGCAGGGCGGGGCTGTGTCGGCGGCAGGGCGGGGTCAGGCGGGGCCGCGTCGGCAGCAGGGCGGGGCCGCGTCGGCGGCAGGGCGGGGCCGTGTCGGCGGCAGGGCGGGGCCAGGCGAGGCCGCGTCGGCGGCAGGGCGGGGCCGCGTCGGCGGCAGGGCAGGGCCGCGTCGGCGGCAGGGCGGGGCCGCGTCGGCGGCAGAGCGGGGCCGCGTCAGCGGGAGGGCGGGGCTGCGTCAGCGGCAGGGCGGGCTGCGACACGGCGGGAGGTCGGGGCCGCGTCGGCGGGGCCGCAACCTGGCAGGGCCGCGTCGGCGTCAGGGCGGGGCCGCGACAGTGGGAGGGCGGGGCCGCGTCGGCGGCAGGGCGGGGCCGCGTCGGCGGCAGGGCGGGGCCGTGTCGGCGGCAGGGCGGGGCCAGGCGAGGCCGCGTCGGCGGCAGGGTGGGGCCGCGTCAGCGGCAGGGCAGGCCGCGACACGGCGGCAGGGCGGGGCCACGTCGACGGCAGGGCGGGGCCGCGACAGCGGCCTGGCGGGGCCGCATCGGCTGCAGGGCGCGGCCGCGCTCTGGCCTGACGGGCCTGCAGGGGCAGCTCGCGGGCCTGACGGACCTGCAGGGGCGGCTCGCAGGCCTGACGGGCCTGCAGGGGCGGGGCGCGGGCCTGACGGGCCTGCAGGGGCGGCTCGTGGGCCTGACGGGCCTGCAGGGGCGGCGCGGTGGCCTTACGGGCCTGCAGGGGCGGCGCGCTGGCCTTACGTGTCTGTAGGGCGGTGCACGAAGCGTAGCTAGGGCAACAGTAGGCAGCGCGAGGGCTGCAGGACGGCGCGCGAAGCGCAGCACGTCACAAGGCAAGGCAGGCGAAGGCTAGCGCAGGACAACACTTGGGGTAGCGCGGTAACCGCAGCGGTAGGTGGGCCTGGAAAAAAAGACGGTCCTACGGACCTAGTGCTCTGAAACCATGTTAGAATGTAGTAGCAGGAATGAATGCACTGTGAAAGAGTTGGGTACAAGTATGAAACCCTAAACGGGGCTGTACCCCATATTGGCTACCCCACTACAGCCTAACCATATATATCATGCATATAATTTGACATCTAACACGCAGCTCTTAACACATCGACTCCCACAATTCTTACAGTGCACGAAACATGACGGCGCCGCGTTCCCACATCACTATCCACATCCCCTTCGGTATCACCTTCGCCTCCTCCAAATCCAATTTCCAGCGCTTCATGTCCTCTTCTTTTACGTCGGTCGTCCAAGAGGATTTGGCTGGCGTGGCCGTCGAAGATGGTCGTCGCAAGCCCGTTGAGATACGCCACCTCCATCCTGTCGTCCGACCGGCCCGTGTAGCGAGACTTTCCAGCTAGGTTTACCTCGCCCTGCCACCTGCCGCCGCTCGTCCTGTCCAACCTAATACCATGCCCCCTGCGATCTTTCGGAACGACGGCCTTCTTCTTAGACGCGGTGGCTTTACCCTTCCGTTTTTTCTTTTTCTCGCCGCCTTCCTCCATACGGTCAGATTGCCCTTCCTTGTCGGCGTGTTCAGCCACCGGTCCGCCTGCCGGTTGTGTGGACGTTCTCGCCTGACCCGCCTGGTCTGCAGCTGTGACGCCCGCCAACCGGTTCAAAGGCCCTGTTTGGCCGGCCTGGCTAGCCACTGAAAGGGCGGCGTGGCGGAGGGACGGTCCAGCCTGACCAGCCTAATCAGCAGCCATGACGCCGGCAGGAAAGAGGGTCGCTAATGACGGACCAGCCTGGGCAACAAAAGTGACGCCTGGCGACGGGTGCGACGGCCCGGCCTGCGCGACCTAGTTGGACGCTGGAACACTGGCCGACCGCTCCACCACAACAACATTGGCCGACGTAGCACCCCCAGCCTGCTGAACGGCATGTTCGTCTTCGTCCATCGCCGCTTGTAGCAATTCCACATCCTCGTCCCCGATGATAAGGTTGTTGAAAATCGGGTCGAGCGGCATCTCCCCACCGCCACCGTCTACGGCCTCCGTGCCACAACCACTCTTTTCAGACACTGCGCCGACATGGAAAGGGGTTGGATCTGCCGGAGGAACCGTCGTCCCGCGTGCCGCTGCTTGGAGTACGGGCTCGCCCACATTCACCGTGGTCGGCGCAGAGCTGGTGCCGGTTGTCTGCGGCTAAGAGGAAGGTGTTGCCGCTTGAAGCGTGGTGATCTCGGCCATTAGCATATCCGAGACCGGGTCCGAGAGCGTCACCCCGGCGACGGTGTGCTGCGTGGTCGGCGCTGCGCTGCCAGTTGTTGGCGGAGGGGCGAAAGGCGCAGCCACTTGACGCGCGTTGATCTCGGCCAGCAGCATGGCCGACACCGATTCCGTAGGAGGTGTTGGACCAGCGACGTGTTGGCACGCGGTCGGCGCAGCGTTGGGGCCGGTTGGCGGATGAGCGGATGGTGCTGCCACTTGACGCGCAAAGCTCTCGGCCGCGACCGGGTTCGGTGGTCTTGGAGCGGCGACTGTGTGGTCCGTGCAGGGCGCACTCGTTGAGACGCCGGCGACGGGTTGCAATCCGACGTGAGGTGTTGGTACAGCGGCGTTGGCAGAGGCGACTGGTGGCTGGTGCGAAGGCGCCTGAAGAACCAGAAGCTCCTCCATCAGAGCTCTCGCCATGGGGTCCTCCTCCTCCACGCCGACCATTTGAGCAGGGACCTGGTCAATCTGCAAGGTGATCGTCGGTGCTTGAACGCCAACGGGCGGCCCGCTGACACCGCCGGTAGGGAGCAGCCCGGCATTGGGAGCACCGCGTTGGCCTGCACCCCAACAGCTGCAACATTAACACCGACGTTGATGGCACTTGCACAGGTAGCCGGATTGGTGGCTGGGTGCACAGCGGCGGCCTGCACCCCAGGAGCCCCAACATCATTGCCGACGATGCTGGCACTTGCATCGGTCGCCGGACGGGCGGTTGGTATCGCCGCGTCGGCCTCCACTTCGGACGGCGGTGGTGCGACCTCGCTTGCTCGATGACGGGGAATCTCCGGACCTTTCCTTCCGTCGGCGTGAGTGGAAGACACGCCGGTTTGCACACCCTCCTCGGCGCCAGTCCTACCCTCCGCGCTGCCGCCGGCTCCACCTTTACTCTGCAGGCAAAGGAGTCGAACTTCCGCCCCTTTCTACTTCAGCATCTCGATGACGGTTGAACGAGACTGGGAACGATCTGGAACGTCGCCGCGGACGCCGCGGTTCCCACCCGCACATTTGCTTCGCTACGAATTTCCCGTGTCGTCGTCGTCGGCTGCGCCTCCACTACCAGCCCTTTTTTCCGGCCGTTGCCTTTGCACGGTCTCCAGTTCGCCGGTCGAGGGAGACGAACTACGCCGCCCCTGCCTCATCGTAGCGAGCACGTTGGGCAGTAGTGTAAAGCCGACGGTACCCAGCGCCTGCTGCGTGACGGCGGTCACCGCCTGAACCAAGTCATCCCTTATTGTTTTGATAGATTCTTCTGGCAGTGCGGGGGGAACGACCGGGAGGAGGGGGCGGCGCGATGCCGCGGGATACACCGCCGACAATATTTGTGGAAGTGGAGGCTATCTGGGCCTATATGAAATCGGCCAACACAGCCTTCATGTTCTCCGCCACGGCGGACACGTGGTTCGCCAACCGCTGGTCGGCTTCACTGCGTTCAGCGCCGAGCTTGGCCAATCCCTTTGTGATTTCCCCCACCAATGGCACCGCCATGCTGCCGCACATTTTCACCAACGCCACCCAATCGTCCAGGACCTTGGCGAAAACGGTGCTCATGGCTGCTGTGGCATTGGAGACGTGTTTCCCGGCCGTCTGCTCTGCCGCGGCGACGCGTTTGGTCAGCGACTTGACACCCTCGAGGCATCCAGCCGCCGTCGCCAACAAACCCTCCGTCCGACCCTTCTCGGCATCCAGCGCCGACCGCAACCCTGCATTCTCGCCTCTGAGTCTCCTGTTCTCCTCCTCCAGACGCTTCACGTTGGCGAGTGCGGCTGCCAACGTCGACTTAAAAGAGGTGGTCAATGCTAGCTGACCATGCGCCGGCGCCTTCCCACGAGACTTGTCCCCAACCGACGCTGCATTTGTGCCTGTCCCGCCGGTTGACATCGGGTCACGACCAGCACCTTGTTCGGCGACATTCGTCACATCGACCTCCACATCTCCGCCACGGTCCTGCGCGTCCACTCCCATCACACTGGCGTCGTTATCCACCTCAGCACCAAAAGCCTTCTTTCCTGCCTCCAACTCCTCCTCATCTTCCTCCTCCTCCTCCTCGGATCTCGACTGTGAGAGTACGACGGCTTATGCCAGCTATGCTTGCTTGCCTAGACTTTATTATGCTATTTCTAGCATATGATTATTTTTTGCATGCATGAATTGCTTGATTTCCTAGGCTATGTGCTTTCCTATATTTTATTATAGTTATAGCGCCGAGCTAGGTTGCGTGCACCGAATTCTGGGCTCTTCGGTTGCCACCGAATTGCCTTCTACCGAATTCGGGGAGGGTCTGTTTGGGACGCTTCGCGACCCTCAGAACCTTCGCATAACACCTGGTTACGGGGCCTTGTCTCGAGCCCATATATAGCCTCGTGTTGTACCCAGGTGATTCATTCAATTCAAACTCTCTTTTCTGAGCTTGATCCTATATCCTCACACCGACTCCGACTCTGACACAAACACTGACACCTCTGTTAGAGACTAAGGACGAGGTCTACGAAGATTAGGGGCCTAAATATCTCAAAATCGTTGGTCTCAATTTCTGGACAGAATCGTCGCGCTCACAAGAAACGCCGTCGACGAAAAACGCACGGTCAAAACTTCACCAAACTCAGATATATTGTAGCTCTACTCCGTGGCTACAATTCCCAAGTTGAATCGTATGAAAATATGAAGTATTTCTTGAGTTATCAATTTCGGCGCACTAGGGGGTATGCTGCCATAGAATCTTAACTCAATAACAAGTGTCTCACAGAAGTTCACACAAGAGAATTAGAGTAGCACTAAACCAGGTGGGAGGGATGAGGAGAACGAGAGGGAAGGTCCCAAGAGAGTCCCCAACCAAGGAAACCCCATGCCACACAATTCCCTTCCCCATAGGCAACCCAACTTTGACCTTTGTCACTATCCCAACCTCCACAATCCACCTCAACCCAACTTGGCCACACTTGCCAACCTGGTTTGGTTTCTCCCAACCATTTGGCAGCAACTACAGTAGAAAAGACGAATTTCCCAACCCTCAAAAGTCTGTACCCCATATTGAGTCAACCCCACAACTTCCCATAGTCACCACAACCAAATATCAAAAGCATACGAACTCCAACGTTCGTAACTTTCTTGTTCGTGCTCCAATTGAAGCGATACTTGGTTCGTCGGAAAGCTCTTGAGCAGAGGAGTCACTTCAGATATCTGCTCAAGCCAAATAACATTCACACACACTCAGAAAAACCAAACCGCACAAAATACAAATTCTTGCACACGCTCACACCACGCATGCAACGCACGAACATATGATGGGAGGCAGACAGACGTGAATGCATATGATTGCATCACACAACAAACTCCCCCTCTGGCTGCCAACCATCATCCCACATGCCATAAGCATGCACCCTCAATGCACACTCATCCCAGCAAGCTTCATGCCCTTCCAATGCTCAGATTCAGCCAGGCGCTTGGTGAGAATGTCAGCCGTCTGCTGATGGGTCTTCACAATCTCCAGTCGCACCTCCTTGTCCAGGAGCCTCCTCACCCAGTGCCACTTGGGCCTGATGTGCTTTGTCAGCCCATGAAGGCAGGCGTTCTTGGCAAGCTTCACTGCCAACTCATTGTCACAGAACATGATTGTCGGCTCCCTCTGACCAACTCCAATCTCCTCCAACAAACGCCTCAGCCACACTACCTCCTTTGCCCCACGATGCAGGGCCATGTACTCTGTCTCACATGAGGACTGCCCCACCTCGTTCTGCTTCTTGCTGCGCCAGCTCACAGCACCACCTCCAAATAGGCACACATAGCCTCCAATGCTGGTGCCATCCGTCTTCACAGAGTTGAAGCTAGCGTCAGTGTAGCAGGTCAAGAGCATCTCCCCCTTGCTCAAATCAGCTGCACCCCTCTGCAGCCTCTGTCTCACTGCGCTGTACTCCAAGCCCACTGATGCTGTAGCGCTCACATAGCGGACCAACCTCTTGGCCGCTTCCAACTGCTCAAGACTGGGGCGTGAAACCACACTAGCAAGCCTGGATGTTGCAAAGGCAATGTCAGGCCGCGTGTGGTTGGCCGCATAGTTGAGTGCCCCAACCATGGAATGAAACAGCTTCCTGTCACTCTCACCCACCACCTCCTCATCAGCACAGGGCTCTACAGTGAACCCCGAAGGCAGTGGGGTGGCTGGCTTTCCTCCATCTGGCAGCCCATACTTCTCAGCCAGCCCCTCACAATACTTCCTCTGGTGCAACCTCAACACTCCCTTATCAAGGTCCCTCTCCACATGCATCCCCAAATAGTACTTCACATCTCCCATCTTGGAGCACTTAAACTGCATCTCCAGCATCTCCTCCACACGCTCAATCATTGCAGACGACTCGGAGAAGAGCAAGATGTCGTCCACATACACCAGGAGCATAAGGAACTCCTCCTTCTCTTGCAGCAGGAACAAGCTGTGGTCGCACTCACTCTTCTTGAACCCCCCAGCCAGCAGTGTCTCCTCCAGCTTGTGGTACCATGCACGAGGAGCCTGCTTTAGGCCATAGATGGCCTTCTTCAGCCTGCACACCCTGCCGCTCCCATCATCCAAACCCTCAGGCTGTAACATGTACAGCTCCTCCAGAATGATCCCATTGAGGAAGGCGGTGGTGATGTCCATCTGCTTCACCCGCCATCCACGGTTTGCTGCCATTGCCAATGACACCCGCAGTGTTGTGCCTTTCCCCACAGGAGCATAGATCTCGTCAAAATCCTTCCCCTTTGTCTGCTGAAACCCCTTAGCCACAAGCCTTGACTTGTAGCGGGTCAGCGCCCCATCAGGTCCGTACTTGTGCCTGAAAATCAGCTTGGAAGAAATGGCCTTCTTCCCAGGAGGCAGCTCACACAACTCCCAAGTCTCATTCTCCAGCAGAGAGTCGTACTCCTCCTTCACACTCTGCTTCCACTTTTCAGCATCGGGCCCGCTCAATGCCTCAGCTAGCGTCTTGGGCTCAGGGGCGGCTGCCCAATAGCAGTGTGCTATCTCCTCCTCGTCACACTGCTCGGCCACACTTCCAGCATGCTCCACATTTCGTGAGCCACTGCGATTATAGCTCAGCCTGATAGGTGGGCGTACATCCCTCCTAGGACGCTCAGGCGGGCGTGGGGCACGTGGTGGAGCACGTTGCTGCTGCTGCTGCTGCTCCTCCACCTCAGGTTCTCCCCCATCCTCAGTCACCCCAGAAATCTCCTCCTCTGAGACAGTGACCTGCACTTGCCTCGAAGGCCGCTGCACCTCATCAGCCTCAATGATCAGCGGTGTAGTAGGAAGCTTCTGCTGCTGCTGCTTCCACTCCTTGTAGTACAAGGACTCGAGGAACTTCACATCCCTCGACACAGTCAGCTGCTGGCTGGTCAAGTCCCAAATCAGCCAGCCCTTGTGATCCTTAGCAAGCCCCAAGTGCACACCCCATCTCCCAGAAGCTTCCAGTTTTCCCCTCTTCTCCTTAGGCACATGAAACACCACCATGCAACCGAAGGCTCTCAGCATGTTGACTGCTGGTGCACTCCCATACCACTTGGTGTAGGGGACCCACTGCTTGTCCCCCACAGTCGCCAGCACCCTGTTCTTCACAAGGGCGACCTGCCGGAGTGCAGTCACCCAAAACGGACCCGGCAGCCCTGCACGCCCAAGGAGAGTGCGAGCACCTTCCTGCAGGGTCCGGTTGAACCGCTCAGCCACGCCGTTCTGCTGAGGGTTGTAGGGCACTGTGAGCTGATGCTGGATCCCCTTCTTCTTCAGCACCACCTCAAACTCATTGCCAATGAACTCTCCCCCATTGTCGGTGCGGATCACCTTCACCTTGTGTCCGCTCTCCCTTTGAGCTCTCGGCATCCACTCCTTAAGAACAGCCGCTGCCACCTCCCCCTTAGTCTTCAAAGAGTGCACCCACACCGCACGTGTGTGGTGGTCCACAATCGTCAAGAAGTAGCGGCTGCCCGAGAGAGAAAGGGCCCTCGTGGGGCCCACCACATCCATGTGCACTAGTGCAAGTGGTGCCTTGGCTGGTCCTGTGCTGCTGCTGAAGGGAAACTTCGTGAATTTGGTCTCAAGGCAGGTAGGGCAGCTCCCAATCTCCTTTGCTCCCCCCTTCACCTCCAGCCCCTTCAAGCACCCATCCTTTACCAACTTCTGCAGCATAGGAATGTTCACATGGCACAGTCTCTCATGCCACGTCTCCCAATCAGCCTCACCACTCCCAGATGAAGCCTTTGCCCATGCAGCTGTCACATCCACACCAGCAAGCACCTCACCATGTGGCTGCTGTGGCTGCTGCACCTTCTTGACTGCATCCAGGGCCCCAGCAGTTGGTGCAATCTTCTCTCCCCCTGCAGCTACCTTAGCCGTTGCTGCAGCCGCTGCCGTTGCTGGTGGTTTCCCATTCCAAGAGATGATGGGCAGCTGCCACAGGTCCTTGATGCAGCTGCTCTTCTCCTCCAAATCCCACAGCAGCAACTTCCCAAGCGTTGCACGGCAGCTGGTTGGGCCGAATGTAACTTTGGCCTTGCTTTTCTGCAGCCGGCGCACGGAAAGAAGGTTAGCGGACAAACCTTCAACCAACAGCACATTCCCTAGCCCCACAAGCCCCCCATTAGCTCCCATAACCTTGGCATTCCCAACACCAATCACAGGGAGCAAGGCACCTGAAGCGGCAGCCACAAACTTGATCTTCCCAGGGGGTTTTACCTCGTCAAGCAAATCTGCCCGTGGGGTCATGTGACTTGTGCAACCTGAATCTATCACCCAGTGGGTGAGGGGGTGCATCACAACCTTCCCAACAGAGCCCACATCACCCTCACTCCCTTTCACATCCTCAACCATGAGGAACATCCCAGGGTCGGCTTTACCTGGTACACCATCACCTTGT